TTGTCCACGGATGTTTACATCCCTGGACAAATGGGAGTGACCGGACTTGGGTCGGTACAACACAACAAACGACGTTACTGTGATACATAACGTCGTTGTTTGTACGAGAGCGCTTTAATGGAAATTAATTCAAATAAATTTTGTGCCCACAGTTTGAGGTTAACGTGTCACCAGGTTCTTATTTTTTTCTTACCAAATGAATCGTAGCTCCCGCGGCCTGACCAAGTTACACATAAACGTTTTAGAATAACTTTACTTAAAATAACGTGTTAATTGGACCTTGAGATGTGCGAATTATAATAACGGTTATTTTGTTTTATTCTAAAATTTCATTATGCAACGTAAGAAAGAAACCCGAGATAGACGTCGAAAAGACTATAAAAGGATATGACTAATTGTAAAAAGGTAAGTCACGGTTGTTGTCGAAGTTTTTTGGATAAGGGAGTATCTTTTTGAGCGTTTTGTACGGGACCAACAGAGTTCTTGTTTCACGTAATTCACTCTGTAGGTAAATTTAGTCAACACGACGAGCAGACTAACGATCGAGTTCGTCTGATGAACCAGTAGAGTTAAGAACCCACGTTCAAGTAGTTACAAACCCCAGCTTCCGAGACTCGACTCCTCTGGGAGTCCCATACACTCACTTACCCACACTCAACGATATAATAATGGCTCGCCCGGGTCGGAATTACACATTAATCTTTAATAGGACGCCCGGCTTTTAAATTTAGGTGGTTCCCGAAAAACTAAAACCGGGGGCACCGGAACTCAAACTGAGATACTAAATGTTTGTAATAGTCGAAAATAAACAAGAAAGTTATACTAGTAAAAGATTAAAATCGAGCCTAGGAAAGGTGTACAGTTATCCTCCCATGTTTATTGAGTTATTTACTACAATATTCCACTATTACATTGCCATCTACTTCAGAAGTTTTTAAGTCTTGCAACAGTCACCTGAAATGTCATTATGTATGTTATGTATATACCCATGACTCTATATGTTATTATTCATTCTAAATCTACAATATTTTCTCCTATTATTGGTTGACATTATAAAATGTTTTACTTATCACATTATCCTTTATTTGACACTTGGTCTCGTAAATAATCAACTAGTAACATCTGACACCTGATAAGGGGTGTAAAGACATCGGTTATGGAATTTTTGTTTTTTGACGTGACAAGTAAGCTATGATTGTATGTCAAACTTAATAAAGATGAGTAGGAAGAACATGTGTAAAAATGAAAAATTATTAAACTGGACGTCAAAAATAATAAAGGAATAAATTTATTTTGTACAAGCAATGACACACTACATATTTAATAGTAATGTCGTTTCCGTTCAAAGAACCAATACAATTGGGGGTTAACCGTTATTGACTACAGACTAAGATCTTCAAGTACAATTTTCGTAAACAATGTTTTGTAGTGACATTGCTAGATGGAATGTGTAGTTATACACACTATGTACTTAGGTGTACACATACAAACGAAACACGTACCACGTCCCTTGAGTGCGCCTACCCCTAGGGGTGTCCAGTCTCCGCCGTCGGTGTTCGTCGGCCGCTCCGAGGTGTCAGGCCCTCCGAGCACTGCTACACGCAACGACCTACAAAGACGTCACTACGTCAGCAGTCTACGCGACGGTCCATTACATCTTATTGAGAACTCGGTTGGCCTGAACCCAGCCATAGTTCAGATTTTATCTGAGGAGTTCTCTATTTATTGAATCTGGCAGTGAACTCTGAGCCTGTCGCTTCCCGCTCACACGTTGAATTCATGCCGCAGTGAGAGCAAACTCCAGAGGTCACAGGGAGTTTGAAGCAGAGGCCAAGCGGGACGACACCTGTCACTCACTCACAAACACACAGGCGATAAATAACAAAAACGCAATAACAAAAAAAAAATTATAATTCCATGTAACAACCTTAAATTGTAAGTAGACATAATAAAAAAAAACTGAAAAAAACATTAAAGAGTATTGAGTTGTTGGCAATTGAAAGGTTTACTCCCAGACTCAATACAAGATCATTAAAATGCATGAACAAGTTAACAATCTAATTGTAAAGTAAAAACAAAAGAAATAACATTGAGATAAGAAACAAAAGATTTCAAAAAAGCCTACATTACCCAGAATGCATTTATAAAAGAGGTTAACTTTTCTTTATTCATTAAGGAACATCTCAAAAGAATCACACACAAAATAATAAACAGTATATAAATAGTATATTTGATTGAAGTTTAATGTTATTATTTTAAATGTTGTAATATATTTGATCATTTATTGACCTTATTTTACTAACTTCTTCTGTTTAGTTATATATAAATATTAAAATCTAAATGAAGCAACTACCACAAAGCCCAATTTCCCCAGGATAAATAAACGGATCTAATTCTGATTGATTCTGATATAGCTTTTACCCTTAATGATTCGGACTCTAAATGCATCTGTTAATTCAAAGACTGATTTCCCTACATGTTCCTCCTCAGAGCAGTTCTGCGCTGACGTCCTGTCCGTGGCGAGGGAAGCCAGGAGACACACGCTGGGAGTTTTCCACCCGAGCTTCAGCCTGCTGCGGACCGTGAGAGCCTCTCTGCTGGAGAAGCTCCCGGCTGACGCTCACCTGAAGGCGTCAGGGAGGCTCTGCGTCTCGCTCACCAGACTGACTGATGGGAGGAACGTCCTGGTGTCAGAGTTCAACAGCAGAGAGGAACTCATTCAGGTACCATGGAGAGCAAGGTTAGAAAGACATGGATGCATCTGAACGTGACGGATCAATAAATCAGAAACAAAACGTTGCTAAAACACAAACAATGTTATTATTACATGTTACTTGTGGCCCCTACAAACGGCAGCGTGCGTTGCCGCTTCAACGCTTCTGCCCATTCACTTTGAATGGGGTGGCGTCACGATTTGCCGAACTGCATTGTGGGAGTAAAGCGTAGCTTCTCGCTGCAAAAGTAGAGCAATGTTCTACTTTTGACGCCTCGACGGAGGTGTCAGCCAATCGAATCATATGCCAGTACAAGCTCTAGCCAATCAAAACCGCGTGCTTGTGTGTCTGGGGCGGGAGATTCATGTGATTGGTTGTTGGTCGAGTTTCAGCCCCGCCCGCCGGCAAGCGACAACGCATGCCGCCGTGTGTAGGGTTTTATCCAAAGCGATTTACATACTCAATACAAGTAAGCAATTTGGGGTGAAGTGTCTTGCCCAGGGACACAACGACATGCTGACTGCTGTGGGGTTTGAACCTGTGCTTCCCTGATCCAAACACCAACGCACTAAACCACTGCGCCACGCCTCCCTATGTCTACCTAATTCTAGCTGCTCCACTGTGATTGCAGTGGGACGCTATTATTGTAGACATTTTGGTGGCATACTGTTTGACAGGGAAGTTATTGAATATGTTTGAAGTATCTTGTATCTCTGGGGTCTTGTCTCTTGTTTTGATGAAATAAGGTTGAAGCTCAATCGTTGTCGACCTTACTTCTGCTTAGAGACGTCTTTTTTTAGCAACATTTTGTTTATGAGTTGTTGACCTGTCAAGTTTGAATCTGTCAATATCTTGCTAACTTTACCGGAGTGATTCGAAAACTAAGAGACGGACATAAGATAAAATAAGATAATACTTCATTGCCAAATCAAGTCTGAAATTATTCTTGCATCTGCAAAAAAAAAAAAGTAAGATAACAAACAAGGGAACAGATACAGTATGAACCATGACATTCAATCAGACAATATTTTCAAGACTCTTCAACAAACACTTGATTTGGGATTTAACATTTTATTTTAGGAATGGCTGTTGCACCAAAGAGGGTTTCAGTCGAATCATAAATTGTGGGCCCCTGCATCTCAGCTTTTAAGCTAAAACATAATCTCTTCTAGACATGGTTGGTGTCCGTTATAGTGTAAAGGTTTTCAGAGTTGATCTGATTTCACAGCATCTGTTCTGGAGGTATCTCAGTAAACACCAGGAGCTGAGAGTCTGATTTTCTTTCCTAAATTGTACGTTTACAGGTTCTGATGTGCAGCTGCTTCTTCCCTGTTTACTGTGGCTTCACCCCCCCTTCATACCGTGGAGTGGTGAGTAGATGTACGGCATGGCCAACTAAAGTTCATGTAAGAGGATTAGAAGGAAAATGTGATTCAATATGGTTTAGCTGTGTACGGTTTTACTTTCAATCCTGTAGGTGCTTTAAGAAAAAATCTGATTAGCGTTTTCTGGAACACACTCACATGTGCAAGGAAAATGTGAAAAATAATAACTTAAATTATTAATAAAACTGTTTTCTTGACAAAAAGTCTCACACATTACAAACACAAATACAATTTGTATACAACACATTCACCCCAAACTATGCAACTAAAAACAACCAACATGCAGTAGGTCAGTCGATTATATTTTCTTTACTGACAATAGGAACATAAACCAGCATGCATTGCATTCAGAATATTTTGAGTTATGGATAAAGCCCAAACTAGATTGGTGCTTTTTTTCTTGCTGTTATTTTTCTCTCAACTGAAACGTATCTAAAAGTTATGCTACATCTTTGAACTTTGCACGGAGCATTCTGGGTAATGTAGGAAATCAGCAATTACACAGGCAGAAGGGAAAGCACAACAAAAAGCGAATGATATGCTTATACTGTATGTCACGATAATTCGTTGAATGCACTAAACAAATATGTCATTACTAAATAACACAACACATGAATGTTATGTAAAGACATAGGTACAGTCCATGCCATAAATACTTGCATCCAGCCGAGTTCATTCAGTCATTTCTTCCCTCAGTACTACATGGACGGCGCACTGAGCAACAACATGCCTCTGTTCGAGCGGAGGAACACCATCACCGTGGCTCCGTTCTCCGGAGAGAGCGACGTCTGCCCCAGAGACGGCAGCTTCAACTTCATCGAGGTGCACTACGGCAACGTGAGCATCCACGTGAACTCTGGGAACGTGCACCGCATCTGGACCTCCTTCCTGCCCCCCAGCATGGAGGTGGGTGCTTTGTTTGTGTAACTGACATTTTTAACAGCAGAGAAGATTCTCTATTTCTTTCTGTCATACCAAGAAAAGTAATGTATTCTACGGTGGCCCTGAAGGTCAAAACACTACAAGATTTCCAAAAACACTGTATTTTTAAATGTGAGTGTGTGTGTTTAAAAGTGTCCATGCAAATGTTGGGTTTTGTGAAATGTATTAGTGTGTTGTGAAATGTTGTGTTATGTGGTTATTGTTTTTTTTTAAATGTTGTAGTGTGTGTTTCGAGTTTTGTGAAATGTTTTTGTTATTTTCTAAATGTCGCACCCTTCAGAGCCACCGTAGTCTTCATTTAAAAAAAAAGATAAATAATTCTCTGAAATATATAAGAAGCTCTTCATGTTATGTTTTGGTTCTTCACAGGATCTGGCTGAGATCTGCCAAAGCGGCTACATGGATGCTCTGCTTTTCCTGAGAGAGAGAGGTGAGCTGCTCCACCTTCCAGAAAGAAATGTCCCTCTGAGGGATTCATAAAGTATGTCTTCTTCATCCTCCTTATACCTGAGTCTCTGAATCACAACATTTAAACACAAACTAAAATGTGCTGTTATTAGTTTCCTGTGTGTTGCAGATCTGCTGGGAACACAGAGTCTTTGTCCCGGATTGATTGTGGAAACGGACTCAGTGAACCCTGCTTGTTGTGAGCTTGTGAAAAAAAGAGGGTCAGAGGAGTTACGGCTGAGCGGACTGAACTCTGATGAGAAAGAGGATCTGTTTCTGAAAGTAGAGAAGCTCCCTGCTGGCATCAAGAAAGGTGAGGAAGAGTAGAGAGAAGGAACTGTCAAAGAAAGGGTTAAGTTGGCATCAATAACGGGAAGACGGTACAATAAGGTTTGTTTAGGAAAGGATGCAAAAAGGTTAATAGTAAACAATAATTACCATCACATGCACCTGTGATTCCCATAAGGAGATTACAAAGCTGGAGGTTTGAAATGGTAAATTCAATGTTAAAGTGGACCTATCATGCTATATTGGAAACATATATTGTAGGGCCATACCTATACAAAACATGTATGTGAAGTTTTTTGCTTAAATTACCAAACAGTTCACCCATTGCAGCCATGCCTCATACCCCTCTTTTGCAGCCCTGTTAGAAAAAACGCGGATTTTGGGTCCATAGCTTTAAAAAAAAAATAAAAAAAGAGGAGGCGGAGCTAATGCCTGATCAGAATTCTACCGGAGATAAAGTTAAATTCTGCTGTGATAAAACGCCATCCTGTTCTAAACCACATCAAGGATTATTTCTGAAACAGTATGGAGCTCAAATGCTTTTTCTCTTGCGGGTTTATCACAGGGTGAGTTCCTTTTTATATTTCCTGTTTTTAAACACATGTGCTCTACAGTACAGGTTAGCTCTGACTGTTAGCGAGGCTTGCTAATGTAAACAAAGACGAGATTACGCCAAAACACGTCAGGCATTGTTTCTGATAGCAACTTCCTGTGGGTCTGCCGCCGATATGACGTCAGTTCGGATGGAAATCTGTATCCGCTCGTTGTAGCCACGTTTTTAAAAGATTTGGGTACGGAGGAAAAGAGAGAGGGTTTTATTTTCTGACGCTGCGTGAGTTCCCTGACACACCGGGGACACATATTTATGTATAAAAGACATCACAAAGTGCATTTTGCATGATAGGTCCCCTTTAATGTAGATCTTGCATGAAAATTAAATAACTTTACTAAATAAAAGACACTAAAATAGTAGATCACACCCAGAAAAAAGTGACGCACAGAAAAGTTAAGATTTGCACCTTACTTAGTTTTCTATTGGTTGAAAAAAGGGCATTTTATCAATTATAAATAACTTAATTTACTTCTCCTGAGGAATGCATCTACCATGATTAATAATATACTGACTCTATTTGTTGTGTGTGTTAGTTCTGTGTGAGGCGTTCAGGGACAGTCGTGGTGGGGACTCTCGAGGGTCTCAGCTCACAGAGTTTCTCCCGGTGAAACTGGTTTTATACCTGCTGTCTCTCCTCATGCTGCCCTTTGAGATGGCCTTCTCTCTCAGCAAAAGGTAACGTCGTTTTAACCCAAACTCCAACTTACGGTCACTAAATATCTGTCTCTGCAGTGAGAAATGTTATTGTAGGAATAATAATTAGTAGTTATTAGATTTAGTTACTTATTTAGTTCATGGTATTTTGGTCTTTTTTGTGTCAGCTTGATATCATCACTGTTGACCTCGACTGGAGATCTGTTCAGGAACGCGTGGAGCAGTGGAGGCGAGGACATGAACAGGTGTGTTCTCATTTTAAAGTGTATTAGACGTTCTGCGAAAAGGTTTCATGTCTCACCTGTCTTCAAGTAGACTTGGCTTCTGTATAACCTGGCTTGGCCAATATTTTAAACATCATACATCATTAAAAATCCCTTATTCATTAAAGTATAAATTAGATATTGTAAGGTAGTTATTCTATATGTCTTTGCCAAACAAATAGCACAGATATTTATTGTAAGTCTTCTAATTTTTGTGTCTGTTTTCTCCTCTTTCTATCCTCCAGTGCATTTCCAGAGCGATACGCCTTTAACTCAGACATAAGGAGCAGAACAGGAGAAAACAATAAACCCTTTAGCTCAACAAATACTACAAACTCCGACAAACTCTTCATTGGGACACCAACGGAAACCTGGAAGTCTTCCCCCTCCCCTCCCCCTGCTCGGGTCCCACCAGCTTCCCCTCATTTAGCACACCTGCATATAGTAAAGTGTCTTTAAACCACAGAAGGTAGCGGACACTTCCTCAGCCATTAACCACGCACAAAAATACATTACCATTAATAATGTGAAGGCTTTTATGAAAGGAATATTTATATTGAATCAAGCAAAAAGCAGAGTAGCTAAATTAATATTTATTAAAACGTCTGTGTAGATTTTTGTAATCATGCTCAACAACCTTCTGAAATAGAGACCAAAAGCTTAAAGGGACAGATCACCTCAAAATCAAGAATACATGTTTTTCTTCCAACCTGTAAATTACCTTTGTTAATCTAGATGGTGTGGTGTGAGTTGTCGGCTGTAGCGATTTAATATATTGGAACTAGTTGGTGCTTAAAGTGTCAAAAAAAGTGCATTTGAAAAGAGTGTGTAATTCATCACAATGTTCCCTTAATGTTCCTCAGAGCAAATTCTTTGTAGATGCTTTGACCATGGGTGTTTCTCAATGTCGAGGGAAGCTGCTCCAGAGCCACTATTTCAAGGATACTACGTAATTGAGTGCCGCCGAAGGACTGTTCAAATGTCAAGGATGCTTGGGACTCTACCGAGGCTGGCGTCCTTCGTTGCGGGAAATTTCGAGGCTGCACAGCGGTCTTAAAATCCCCACAATGCTTTGAGCACGGACCAATTTCCTAATCTTTGGCAGAAATTGCGCTCCATTTAAGGCGGGGCCTCGCATGTGACGCACACCTGCACACCCGTTAGCCTGTTCCACAATTCTTCGTTTTTCGATGCTAGGAAGGATTCTTGCATCGCTTCTGAAGGACCTGACTCGGAGGTACATGTGCTACCAAGGAAGCGTCCTCGACATTGAGAAACACCCCATGTCTTAATTTAACTGCTCCCATCAAGGTCTGTGGATATTCTTGAGTCACCATTTGACCAACTTGATTTTAGAGTTGACTGTCCCTTTAACACAAATGTTCATAATGATCAATAAGCACACCTTTTTGTTCAATGACCAGCAATTTGAGCATCTAGGATTATCGGCTCAATGAAGTCGTTTCACTGCCAAAGCAATATTAATGCCCTGGTTAAAAAAAAATGGTAATGGTGGCCATCACAGAAATGTTTTCATAGTACAATGTGAGTTTAACAGGATGTAAACTTCTGCAATAATTCATTGTAATTCATCTAGTATGCTCAGTGGTCAAATGCATGGGCGTAATTTCCACTGGGGATATGTCCCCCCCACTTTTCAAAATCCCGTTTGTGTCCCCCCCCTACTTTTCAAATGTGTTTTTTTTTTTACGCAAGTGGTCATCGTCACGGAGGAGCGTCTGTTTGTGTGTGTGGCAGGAGCGCAGTTTGTGTGTGAGAGAGAGAGAGACAGACAGAGAGACTTACATTTCCCGGGAAATCTGAATTGTCAACGGGGGGGAGGGGCTGTAGACGCTCGAGATTTGTCAACGGGGGGTGTGAGGGAGGCGCTCGTGAATTGTTTTTACGGAAACAGAGGGGTTTTAGGTTGCCATAAGGCTGTTGACGGTCTTATTATAGGCTGCATCCATTGGTTGTTTTTGTGGCACATTTGTAACGCTGTGCCAACTTGGGCAAGCATGCAGGCAAACTTGAGGAGCGCAAACAGGGTGGAGTGAGGTTGAGCGATGGAGAGAAAGGGAGAGAGAGAGATTGAGCGAGGCAGATAGCGTGTGCAGCGGTCTGCTTGCGCACAGAGCCGGAGTTTGTGAGAGAGCCGGCTTGAGAGTCAATTTCTCTTCAAAATATAATTGATTGCTAGCCTCCCTTGTCCCTGGCAAATGCTAGTTACGTTGGTAACGTAACTGATTTCTTCTAATTTGCCTGCATCTGGCGCTGAGTTGCCATATGCCTTTCATGAACCACTTCCACCATTGTTGCAGATAAATATAAATGATAATAGCCAAACTAACCTAGCAAGAGTAAACTGACAGGCTGCTGTGCCGCATCTCACTCAAAAACCCACACGACTCAACCCAGCGAAAAACCAGTCTCGCTCGCAGCCTTTCATTCAGAATTTCATAGCAAAATTAAAAAATTGATGCGGGTTTTTATTGTCACGGTCTCCCCCTTGACCGCCTTGGGGCAGCCTGCCCCCCCCCTGCACCCGGGCGGATAGGTCCTAACCGGCGTCAAAACTAGTCCCGACTTATGTGTAAAATTACAAAATAATAATAAAATACAACATAAACATCCCGATACAAGGGATTATAAATAAAAACAAAATTTGATAACCTTTCTAATCACAAATTTATTAAAAAA